CGTTGGCGAACCGCTGCTGCCTGACCGCCCTGGCTGCACGGAGCCCTTCCGCGTGATCGATGCCCGCGTTGCGCGCGTGTCGAGCGCCCGGCACGCCAGCGGTCTTGAGCAGCTGTCAGCTCACCTGCCTGCGCAACCGGCCTGTGCTGGCCAGCACCTTCGATTTCTTGACTGCTACCTTGAGCTTGACCAGCGGGGCACGAGGATGCGAGCGGCGCAGACATGGTCGTCCTGAACCCTCTGGGTGCCTCGCCGGCGCGGGAGGACCAAATCTTCCACCGCGATAGTAGGAGTGACGGCTCCGAACCTAGCCACCACCTCGTCGAGCGGCTGTAAGAGCTCATGATCCCGCCCGAGCCGATCGCCACCGAGTGATGCACCCAGTCGTTGTAGTTGGGCCGCGCCTGCTCGAGGTCGGCCACGACCATGGCCTCTGACCAGGAGAAGCAGGCTGTGCTCAGGATCTCGAGCGGGCCCAGGGAGACATCCGGAGCTCCGCTGCCGATGACTCCGAACACGCCTTGCAGCTCGGAGAGGTCGGGCGGGGGCTTGCTGGACATGCGCTGGAGCGCCTTCAGAGCCCCCGCCCTGGAGAGCCCCTTGTCGATCTGAGCTGCATCTCGAAGGCAGACGGCGATCGATATGCACCGTGTCGCCGCTCTCGTGACCCTCGGCAGCCTCGGAGGCGACGGGCCTGTAGTGGACGTAACCGCAAGCCTGGGACGATCCGCTCTCCCCGCGTACCTGCCGAGGTCGTGAATGGGCCCGCGCGCGTCGACTTTGTTGACCCCCACCTGCCTGACGAAGACCTGCCACACTCTGTCCAGGTCGCTGGCCTGAGCTAGCGAGTCGCGCACTGCCGGCCAGCCAGGGGCGTGGTCCCTGGCGCAGCAAGCCAAGGGCCTGGGCAGCGGAAGCCGCTTTGCCTTGCGCATGACGGTGACGCTCTGGTGCCTGCCTGGCCCGAGCAGCTCGAGCTCGGCGGGAAAGCGCTGGCTGAGGTCGAGCCCGTGAATGACGCTGGCATTGGGCCCTCGGGGTAGCCTGGAGACCACGGAGAAACCGATGATGTGGCCAGCGGGCCTGCACGTGGGCTCCGCGGGAGCCGCGACGACTGCTTGGGCCGCCTCTGGCCAGCCCGACTCTGCTAAGACGGACGGCTCCATGTTGAAATGCCACAGACCACGAAGGGCTTGTTGGCCGCTTGCAGGGCCCTGAGCACCCCGCACAGCATGTTGGCGTTGCTCCTGTCGGGCCCGACGCTGTCCTCCAAGTAGAGGCTGACCCAGTCAATGCACCTCGGCAAACGCTGTTGAAGTGGGAGATGATAGCTCGCCCAGGCGCCCGCACGGACTGCTCGCCAATCAGCTCGAACGGCCCGAGCCCGAGGTGGTGAGGCACAAATTAGACAAGCCCTCCGCTGCCCTGGCGCCCTGGTCCAGCGTCGATTGCTGGCGCTGCCTCCGAGCCCCATCCGAGCCTGCGGAGCTGCCTGTGAACGTCGCGCGTCTGCTGGGCGTCGCGGTGCGTCTGCTGGACACCGACAAAGTCGCTGTACCTGACTGTGGCCGTGCCCAGGAGCTGGGAGAAGCGCGACCACGCATTGCAATTGACGGCGAGGCCGATCCACCAGCGCCCCGCCTGTGCACCTGCCCTCTTGGGCAGCAAGGAGTAACGATTGCCACCGAGCCCAGCGCCGCGTGCGCTGCCCACCAGAGGTCTTGGAAAGCTTGGCGTACCTGATGGTGTCGAGTTCCTCCTGGAGCCGCTTCTTCTCGTTCTCGTCCGCAGCACTGCCCAAGAGCCCGCCTGGGCCCTCGCCCGCCATGAACTTGTCGAAATCATCCTCGGCCTCGCCCTTAGCAGCACCTCCAGCTGCACCAGCTGCCGCCCCAGCGGCTGGAGCGGCGTTGCCGCCTGGCGGAGGCTCTGGTGCAGGGGGAGGCGCAGCTGCAGCTGCCAGCTCGCCGAAGTGGGCTGACAGGCTGGCCAAAACCTCAGCGCCCGACTTGCCCTCCGCGGGGATGGCCGCAACCTTCCCCTTGACCGAGCCGAGCGTCTCCTCGGCCGCGGTGGAGGAATAGAGCTTCGCCGGTTGCTTCTTGGCCTCTTCGAGCTCTGCCTTGCGCTCGGCGAGGGTCCGCTCGGACTCGGCCAGCGCCTCCAGAGCCGTGCGAGAGTTCCCGAGAAGGCGCCCCCGCTTGGCGCTGGCGCCCCCCGAGCCCAAGACACCAGCGGCTGCCTTTCGGCGGGCCAGCTCGACCTTGTCCCTGCTGCTCTTAGAGAGCTGGTCCTTTACGATGTTGTAGGACTCCATGGCCATCGCTGCGTAGGCTGCGACCTTGTCGGCTGAGAGGGTGAGCGTCGCAGGATACGAGGGGCCCCCACCGCCATGCCCGAGCCCTTTGCCCCCCCCCCCGCGACCATCCCGCACAATGCCTTTGCCGTGTTGTTGCTGCTGCGCCCAGGGAGCGCCAGCCTTGCCGCTGCCGAAGGACCACTTGCTGCCCCAGGGCGTCGGGCTGCCGTCACCTGTTGCTGGAACGTTGTAATCATTCTGGGAGCCCTTGCAGCGGGCCTTGGGACAGAGTGAGAGATGTTGGGGCGTATACCCACCGCAACGCACGCACTGCCAGCACTTCGCCATGAGAGCCAGAGGGCCCACGAGACCAGAACACACACACGAATAATGACTGCGCACCCTCAGGCAGAGGGAGGCAGGTGAAGGCCAGGGGCGGACCTGGCTTCACCAGGAGCTGAATCGCGAGCCCGGGGCCAGGAGGCTGACAACCCCCCAAGCATGGAGCCTTGAGCCAACATGGCTACGTAGACCACTGGGCCTTTCGGTGGAGCTCCCCATGGGGCCACGAAGCGTGCGAGGGGTGTGCCGACATGGGCGGGGGGGGGGGGGGCGCATGCGAACGCGGCCACTGGAGCCTTCGGTGGAGCTCCCTATGGGGCCACGAAGCGTGCGAGGGGTGCGCCGAAATGGGCGGGGGGGGGGGGGGGGGGGGGACGCGGACGCGGCCACTGAGGCCTTCGGTGGAGATCCCTATGGGGCCACGAAGCGTGCGAGGGGTGTGTCGACGTGGGCGGGGGGGGGGGTCCGCATGCGGACGCGGCCACTGGGGCCGTCGGTGGAGAACCGTGTGAAGGAGCGTGCCAAAGCCAGGGGGGGGAGCGACGAGAGGAGAGGGAGGGAGGGAGGGGAGGACGCAGGAGGGGCAGGAGGAGGAGGAGAAAGGAGGGGAACGCGGGGATGGTCTCTTCAAAACGAGGGCCCAACACCACAGGATGGCTGGGAACAGCGCTGCCACATGGACTCTACGGCAAGCTCGGGCTCGTGCGCGGGCGCCTCGCGATCACTGCGCGCTGGTTTTGACAAGAACGCGGGGAGGGTGCCGACATGTCGCCTGCTGTGCGCAGGCCCACCAAGCACCATGATGGACACCCCGCCGTGCTCGCGCATGGATGTTCGACAACGGAGGTGGGGGCCGATATGTTTCCCGACGTGTGCTGTCACATGCGCGGGCGCACCTGACACACTCTGCGCGGGCCCCGAACGTGGCGCACCTGGTGCGACTGGGGCGTGCGGCACGCGTGGGGCGCGTGGAGCACGTGGCGCATCTGGCGCACCAGGCGTCCCTGGCACACTTGGGCCCCAGGGGTGCCTGGCGCACCAGGCGCGCGTAGCGTGGCACGCGTGGCGCACCTCGCCCCAGCGTCGCGTACAGGGGCCTGGTTTGGTTCCCAGTAGCTGCCCGTCCAAAGACGACCGCTGAATATGCTGCGGTGGCTCGGGTGCCACTTCTGTGTCGCGAGGGCGTGGGGGAGAGCACAAATCATTGATTTTACGCAGGTGTTGGGCCCAGTTTGGCCTCCTGCGGGGGGGGGAATTGAGCACCACCCCCGTGGTTGATCGAGCTCCTGCAAGATGGCCCCAAGATGGCCCCCAAGGCTGCCAAGAAAGCCCCTTGAGGCCCCCAAGAGGCGCCCAGGAGGCTCCAACAAGAGAAGAGGCCCCCAATAGGCTCCCAAGACCCCAAGAGGCTCCCAGGAGGCACCCAAGACGCCCCAAGAAGCCCCTAGGACCGCCCAGAGGCCCCCCAAGCGCCCCATCCGAGAGGCATCCAAGAGGCCGCTGGCCTTTCTGCTGCTGCTGCTGCTCCTCCTCCTCCTCCGATGACTCCTCCGTCCTCCCCCTCTTGGGGTATGACGGCCTCCCCAGCTCTTTACTCCACTGCATGCTCCTCCGCATCCCTGATCAGGGCAACTTGCCTGGGCATCGTTTCTGGATGGGCTGGTGGGGTTACACGAAACGTCGATAAGATCGAGCATCGACGAAAGAGGAGAAGAAGGATCGAGGATCCAGGGGAGAGGACGGGTAGGATGATGATGATGATGATGATGATGATGATGATGATGATGATGATGATGATGATGATGATGATGATGATGATGATGATGATGATGGTGGTGGTGGTGGTGATGATGAGGAGGAGGAGGAGGAGGAGGAGGAGGAGGAGGCGAACAAAGGGATGCGGAGGAGACGGACGGGCGCGGAAGCGGAGGATGGATGAGCAGGGGGAGAGGATAAGAAGCAGGCGGAGGCGGATAGTAAGAAATCTTCAGAGGTAGAAGAAGAGAGATGGGAAACGGACGGTGAAGAGAAAGAAGAGGATACAACAGAAGGGGAGATGGGGAGATTGCAAGGGGAGGAGGAGCAATATGTGGATGGGGGAGGTGGAATAACAGGGCGAAGGAGATGAGGGATGAGACACTTGTGAGGAACGCGGGTAAGAGGATGACGAGTTGGCGGAGGCAGAAGTATACCAACACATAGAGGTAGGTCAGAAGGAAGGGGAAGAGGACGATGGCCAGGAGAAATTCGAGGATGCAAAGGAAGAGGGTTCATAGAAGGAGGGGAAAGGGGAACACGACGAGATGAGGAGAAAAGAGAAACGGACGGAACTCCTGTCCGGCCGTGCCCCCCGCGAAGCGGTGAGTATCTTGATAGCCTTGGCCTCCTTCTCGTCTTTCTCGATCGCGAGCTCCAGCTTCGCCTCGCTCGCCTTCTCGAGCTCCTGCTGCATCATCTCCGCGATCTTGAGCTTCTCGCCCTTCTTCGCCAGCTCCACCGCCTGCAAAGCGAGGGTCTCCGCGTCGGTGGTCACGTTCCCACTCCTCGTCTCATCCATCCGCTCGACCAGGGAGACCTATACCCAGACCCCCGACGTCGTGATTTTTTCACGACGTCGACCCCCAGAGGTCTGGACCCCTTCCCCGGGACCGGTTGTTTATCCCGAGTCGTTTTTTGACGCTCCCGAGGCCCGGGGAGGGCCCCCGGAGGCCGAAAATTGGGAAAAACCTCCCGTCGCGATTTTTTTTCACGACGCGAGGAGGTCTGGGTAGACATCCGGCTGCTCTAGCTTTCTCGATTGCGTGGGCCCCGGCGGTCCGGACTATACCCATCGGTCGGAAGGGGTGGGGAGAAACATGAAGTAGGAAGGCGCTGGAAATAGATCGGGTTTCCGCCCCGCCTCCTGAGGAGGAGGGGAGGAGGGAAAGCCACTCGACGCTTGAAGTAGGAAGGCGCTGAAAATAGATTGGAATCTGGGCATCCAAAAATACCTGCTTTCATCGACCGAGGGGTACACCCTGCGAAATGCTTAAGAAATCATGGGTTAAGAAATTCATAGTCTCAGAAATTGAATAAAACCCAGAACTTCTATCAAAATCTTGGGATTTACATTGAAAAATTAAGAATAATCGAGACTCTGGACGAAAACTTAGGTTTTGTTAAGCATCGCCTAAGGTGTATACTTCCCCGGGGCCGGCGTTCCGTCCCGCATCGTTGCTCGGCGCTCCCGCGAGGCCCAGCGCGCGACCCCCCGGAGGCCGAGAGCTGCCAAAATCCAGCCGCTCCAATGTTTCGCTCGGAGCGTCGGATCTCAGTCCCCAGACCTCCTCGCGTCGTGAAAAAATCACGACGGGAGGTTTTGCACTATTTTCGGCCTCTGGGGGCCCTCGCCGGGCCTCGGGGCCGTCAAAAAACGACTCGGGACGAAGAACCGGCCCCGGGGAAGGGGTCCAGACCTCTGGGGGTCGACGTTGTGAAAAAATCACGACGTCGGGGGTCTGGGTCAGTCGGGCGTGGGCAGAACTGGGTCTAGTGGGACCTGGTTTACCCAGAGATCCCACGTGTTGAAAAACTCTGGACGGACGTTTTTCGCAGTTTTCAATCTCTAGAGGGCCCTCGCTGGGCCTCGGGACCGTCAAAAAACGACTCGGGATGACAAACCGGTCCCGGGGAAAGGGTCGGGACTTCCAGGGGCCCCGCATTGAAAAAATCACGACATCGGATCTCAGGGTAGTGATGTGTACTGGGGGACGCCCCCCCCCCGCCCGTTCCACTCACCGAAACTGCCGCCACCTGAAAAAACACCAGCTATACGGCAGATGTGGTTTCGTGATTCTGGCCAATGTACGGGCTCCAGGGCCCTGCTACTGACCGGGTCCCCTCACCCCCAGACATTTGGCTGCTCCAATTTCTTTTAGCGCGTGGAACCAGGAGGTCCGGACCAATCCCGGGGACCGGTCTTCCGTCCTGAGTCGTTCTTTGACTCTCCCGAGGCCCGGCGAGGGCCCCTGGAGGCCAAGAACGGCCCAAATCCCGCCGCTCACATTTTTTGGGGGGGAGCGTCGGCGATCTCAGGGCTGGGGTCCCAGACCCCCGACGTAATGTTTTTTTCATTACGTCGACCCCCAGAGGTCTGGACTCCTTGCCCGGGACCGGTTTTTCATCCTGAGTCGTTACTTGACGGCCCCGAGGCCCGGCGAGGGCCCCCGGAGGCCGAAAATAGCGAAAAACCTCCCGTCGTGATTTTTTCACGACGCCGGGAGGTCTGGGGTCACCACCTCTCCCGAGGTCTGGGGTCACCACCTCACGTCGCGATTTTTTCACAACATCGACCCCCAGAGGTCTGGGGACCCCTTCCCCGGGACTGGCTTCTCGCCCCGAGCCGTCTTGTTGACGCCCCCGCGAGGCCCAGCGAGGGCCCCCGGAGGCCGCAAATAGGGGAAAACCTCCCGTCGCGATCTCGTCACGACGCGAGGAGGTCAGACCTCCTCGCGTCGTGAAAAAATCACGACGGAAGTTTTTCGCTCTTTTCGACCTCTGCACATGGAGACCCTTCCCGGGCCTCGGGACCGTCAAAAAACGACTCAGGCCGAAGAACCGGTCCCGGGGAAAGGGGTCCGGACCTCTGGGGGTCGACGTTGGGACAAAAAATCACGACGTCGGGGGCCTGGGCACGACGCGAGGAGGTCTGGGCCCGGCGCAGGGGGGCCTGGCGGACCCCCGGCCCGAGCTGGAGCAGCTCGTCCTCCTCCTGCGGCGCCGGACGCGCCGGCTCCTGGGCCGCCCCGTCGGTCGAGCTCGCCGCCGAGGCCTGGAGCCAGGTCGGGCCTGTGCCCCTGCAGGGGGATTTTGTGAGGGGCGTATCTTCCACCACCGCCGCCAGAAGAGGGAAGAGGGGAGGAGGAGGAGGAGGAGGAGGAGGAGGAGGAGGAGGAGGAGGAGGAGGAGGAGGAGGACGAAGAGGAGGACGAGGAGGAGGAGGAGGAGGAGGAGGAGGAGGAGGACGACGAGGAGGAGGAGGAGGAGGAGGAGGAGGAGGAGGAGGAGGAGGAGGAGTAGGAGGAGTAGGAGGAGGAGGAGACCCCCTCCCCCTGCAACTTATGGTGGTGGTGGTGGTGGAAAACAGGCCCATCATTTTGGGCGAAAAATGTGTTCCAAGAATGCCCCCAAAGGGTCCAAAACCTACCCCCCAGAGTAGTCCCCAGACGATGCTTGTTTTTACTGCTCTTGAGCATTCCTCCTGTAGAGGGACAGGCCCGACTTCGGCCTGGAGCCGGCTCGAGCGGCTCCTCCTGCTCACGTCGCTTCCGCTGCACACGTCCGACCTCGAGCCGAGGCTGAGGCTGCTCGACCGCTCAACGCTCGAGCGCTCCAGCTCGTCCATCTGGGCCGTCGCCTCGATCACGGAGTCCCTCTCCTCGTTGTTTTTCGTTTTCCCTCGTTCTCGTCCTCGTTTCGGTTTCGTTGCTTCTCGTTTTGGGTGGCTTTCGTGCTCGGTGTTCGTTCTTGTGTCGTGTGTCCCTCGCTTTGTTTTTCGTTTCCGTTTTCGTTCTCGTATTCGTTCTCCCTCGCTTTTGCCTCCAGCCCGCCCTCTACCGCAAGACGGGGCCGCAACGAACACGGCCAACGAGACATCGCCGAACGTACCGTCTGTAATTAGGCCCGCCCCCCATCCCTCCTCGTTGGCCGCCCCCGAGTTGCAGTCGCTGCCGCCGCTGCCGCTGCTCAGGAGCTGCTCGGCCTCGGCGAGGTGCTTCACTCCTCCTCCTCCTCCTCCTCCTCCTCCTCCTCCTCCTCCTCCTCCCTCTTCCCTCCTCCTCCTCCTCCTCCTCCTCCTCCTCCTCCTCCTCCTCCTCCTCCTCCTCTTCCTCCTCTTTCTTCTCCCTCCTCCTCTTTCTCCTCCTCTTTCTCCCTCCCCCTCCTCCTCCTCCTCCTCCTCCTCCTCCTCCTCCTCCTCCTCCTCCTCCTCCTCCTCCTCCTCCTCCGCTGCTCGGCCTCGGCGAGGTGCTTCACCAGGCTGCTCAGCTCGCCCTTCGGAGCCATGGCGGCGCCGCCGCGCGGGCCGCGCGGCGGCCCCCGCGCGGGGCGCTATCGGCGCGCGGCGGCGGGTTGGGCGTGGATTAACGGGGGGGTCATAAACGGGGGGGCAGAAAAGGTCCCCTTTCGTGCCCCTTTCGGGCCCCTCCAGAGCCCCAGGGGGCTCGTTTAGGTACCGTTTGGGTACCTTTCGGACCACGCTCGCCACCCCCCCATTTATATGACCCCCCCATTACGCGGCGCCCAAGCGGGGCGCGAGAGGCTTGCTCCGCCCCCCCAGCCGCCCGCGGCAGGCGCATCGGCCGGAGGCCGGAGCGGGTGGAGCCGAAATGGCCTCGGGAGAGGCGGTGGCCCCGGACCTGCTGGCGTCGTGAAGAGATCACGGCGGGAGGTCGTTCGCTATCTTCGGCCTCCGGGGGCCCTTGCCGGGCCTCGGGGCCGTCAAATAACGACTCAGGATGAAAAACCGGTCCTGGGGGAGGGGTCCAGACCTCTGGGGGTCGTCGTTGTGAAAAAATCACGACGTCGGGGGTCTGGGGAGGTGGTGACCCCAGACCTCCTGGCGTCGAGAAAAGATCACGACGGGAGGTTCTCCGCAATGTTCGGCCTCATGGGGGCCCTCCCCGGGCCTCGGGACCGTCCAAAAACGACTCAGGATGAAAAACTGGTCCTGGGGAAGGGGTCCAGACCTCTGGGGGTCGACGTTGTGAAAAAAACACGACGTCGGGGGTCTGGGGAGGTGGTGACCCCAGACCACCTGGCGTCGAGAAAAGATCACGACGGGAGGTTCTCCGCAATGTTCGGCCTCATGGGGGCCCTGCCCGGGCCTCGGGACCGTCCAAAAACGACTCGGGACGAGAAGCCGGTCCCGGGGAAGGGGTCCAGACCTCGGGGGGTCGACGTTCCCAGACATCCGACGTCTCGATTTTTTCGAAACGCGGGCACCCGACCTCCCGACCACTTCCCCAGGGCCGGTTTTTCATCCCGAGTCGTTCTTGGATGGTCCCGAGGCCCGGTGAGGACCCCGAGAGGCCGAAAACGACGAAAAAACTGTGTCTCGATCTTTTCGAGACGCCCGATGTCTGGGTTGTGAAAAGATCGCGACGTCGGGGGTCTGGGACATCCGGGTCCTGGCCCCTGCCAGCCATCGGCCCTTCTTGAAGGGGCCCTGGGACACACAGAGAAACACACACACACACAAACAACAGGAGCCCCCCTATTTTCTCCTATATGTTCTGGGTTTCTGTCTCCCCCCCCCACTTCCCATATTTTCCGACCTTTTCCTGGGAGTCGAGGATGTGCGGAGGAGGAGGAGGAGGAGGAGGAGGAGGAGGAGGAGGAGGAGGAGGAGAGGAGGAGGAGGAGGGGGAGGGGGAGGAGGAGAAGGAGGAGGAGGAGGAGGAGGAGGAGGGAGGAGAGGAGGAGGAGGAAGGAGGAGGAGGAGGAGGAGGAGGAGGAGGAGGGAGGAGGGAGGAGGAGGGAGGAGGAGGAGGAGGAGGAGGAGGAGGAGGAGGAGGAGGGAGGAGGATTCATTGTGTCTGTGTGTGTGTGTT